CTTAACTGAGAAGTAAAGGACATAGGACTGGCCAGCCTTGTGACCTTTGAAGTTACTTCCAACTACAAGTTTCCAAGACTCTCCAAGGTCAGGATAATCTGGGAAGATTTCAAGCAAAAGTGGGACTGACTTTCTTCTCTGATTTGATAAGATGTCTTTTTTTTTTTTTTAAAGACTTTATTTATTTATTCGACAGAGAGAGACAGCGAGAGAGGGAACACTAGTAGGGAGAGTGGGAGAGGGAGAAGCAGGCTTCCCGCCAAGGAGGGAGCCCAATGCAGGGGTTGATGCAGGGCTCAATCCCAGGACCCTGGGATCATGACCTGAGCTGAAGGCAGATGCTTAACGACTGAACCACCCAGGCACCCCTGATTTGACAAAATGTCTTGATAACACTCAGTGTACAAGACATTGTACCACATACACAAGTTTATAAACTGTCCCCTTTCTTCTGAAAAACCCTGAATGAAATGGTCTTAGTGGACCTTGCCATTTCCAACATCAATTAGTTCAAGTAAGAGCATGACCTTAAAATAATGTGACTATTTTTTAAAAATAGCTGATCAAAATTTATAAATCCAAAAGTGTGTCCCCAGGATATTCATAGCAGCACTGTTTATCATAGCAAAAGAATGGAAATAGTATAAATATCCATCAATTAAAAATTGGCTAAGTAAATTATGGCAAATCCATACAGTGAAATACAAATGAGGATATTAAGAAGAATGACTCAAAATCTCCCAACAAAGAAAAAAATAGAACCAGATGGTCACTGGTGAGATTGACCAAACATTTCAGAATTAACACCAATCCTTCTCAAACTCTACCAAAAATTTGAAGATGAGGGCATACTTTCTAACTCATTCTATGAGGCCAGCATTCCCCTGATACCAAAGCCAGACAAAGACACACAAGAAAATAAATCTACAGACCTATGTCCCTTATGAATATTGATGTAAAAAAATCTCAGTAGAACACGAGCAAACCAAATTCAGCAGCATATTAAAAGGATTATACACCATGACCAAGGGGGATTTATTTCTGGAATGCAAGGATGTTCAACATAGGAAAACCAATCAGTTTAATATACCACATTTATAGAATGAAGGGAAAACCCCACATGATCAATTTCATTTACAATAGCATCAAAACAATAAAATACTTGGGAATAAACATAACCCACAAGGCATAAGACTGGTTCATTGAAAACTATAAAACATTGCTGAGAAAAATTAAAGAAGACACAAATAAACGGAAAGACATCCCATAGTCATTGATCATAAGACTTACTGTTGTTAAGCTGTCAGTACTGCCCAAAGTGACCTAGAGTCAAAGCAATTGCTATCAAAACCCCGCACCTGTTTTTTGAAGAAATGGGAAAATCCATTCTAAAATTCACATGGAATCTCAAGGGACCCCAGATAGCCAAAACATATAAAAAAAGAGCAAAGTTGAAGGCTTCACACTTACTGATTTCAAAACTTCTTTCAAAGCTACAGTAATTAAAGCAGTGTGGTACTGTCATAAGGACAGATATATAGGCCAATGGAACAGGCCACAGAGCCCAGAAAAAAATCTCACACATATGACTAAATTGTTCTCAGCAAGGGTACCAAGAGCAAATTCACTGAGGAAAAGACAGTCTTCAACAAATGGTGCTGAGAAACCCGGATATTCGCATGTAAAACAACGAAGTTGGACCCTTACCTTACACCACCTGCAAACATGAACTCAAAATAGATTAAGGACATGAAACTGTAAAACTCCTAGAAGAAAACATTAGAACTCATGACATTGAGTTTGGCAGTGATTCTTGCATATGACACCAAAGTTCAGGCAATAAAAGAAAAAATAGATAAATTGGACCCATCAAGATGAAAACGTCTTGTGCACCAAGCGTACAATCAACAGAGTGAAAAGCATACGATCCCACTGAATGGGACCCCTTGGCCTCTGTGCCAAGTACATTATCCTCCCAGATACATTATTAATATTTTTAGTGTGTCCAATTCTAAGTAGTCCCCTGGGGAGGCAAAACTCTGACTCCAGGGGTGCTGCCCAGTTGAGAACGTGTTTTGGAGCACTCTTCTTTCACCTGCTGTCCGAGGCTTGGAGTGTTGTTTTGCTGCCCTCCATGGTAGCAGATTCTCAGGGTTGGAACTGAAGTTTGGAAATGGCCCCAAGTGGTTCAGAGCCAAGTCTGGTAGATGTTCATTTTGACTAGAGAATAAGTGACATAATTTATTTATTTGTTTTCTGCTTCATTTCACCACGGAACTGAGGCATTGGACTGGTCCTAACAGCAATTTCCTTATGTGGTCAGAAGACGGTTCACAGAGAGGACTCCTAACAATGTTCTGTCCTCCCTAGTATTGTGGAAATGGGTGCACCCTCTCCTACAAGAGATTGGTCAGGAATGCTTTGGCTACAAGTGAGAGAAGCCAGCACCAAGTGCCTTAGGGGGGGGGGGTGAAGGAAAAGTTTATTGGCCCCAAAGTCAGGAAGGACATGGGGTGGGGGGAGCTCAAAAAATCAAGAGTAGGGCTGCAGAACCAGGTCCCCCCCACCCCAGTAGCTGGAATTGAGGATTTCCTGCCCTGCATTCTCTCCAGGTGTCTCTGCTTCTCCTTGTATGTTGACTTCTCTTTCCTCCTAGTGCAGGAATGACCCCACGGGGAAGGAAACATAGTTGCCACAGGCTCTAGCTGTTTCATCTATAAATTCCAGGGAAGGTCTCTGATTGGCCCTTCTCAGGTCCAGGTCACCCCTGAGCCAATCACTGCAGTCAGAGGGATACAGTTGCTAAGACTGGCTGGGAACTGGGTCATCTGTCCACCCATTGTGTGTATTCTGTGTGTGTAGCCTTTGTTACTAAAATAAGGGAGCGGGAAAGAAAGCTTGCAGGCTACTTGGAACTACAACAAGGATGCTTGTTGCCTGGGATATGCTAAGGATCCACATGGTCTCTCAAATTCTCCAGGAGCCTACAATCTAGTTTGGGAGACAAGACACAAAAATAACCAGAACACAACAGCTTGCACTGACTTGAAGCCTGGATAAGAATATCTGGAACCCCCCACCCACCTCATAGGCCTGTCTCTTGGATAAAACTTAGATACTTAGTGTGGAAAGGCTTTGAGAAGACAGCAGTAACAAAGCCCTTTACAGTTCACCTGGCATATTCACATCCATTCCAGGGGGCCAAGCACAGCTCTGGAGTCGGACTGCCTCAGCTTCCTGAGCGGCAAAATGGGAATGATACTAGTTTCTGCCTCATAGGGTTGTTGGGGATTGGGGGTGTTCACACTGTGTGGCACACAGTGGGGGCTCAGTGTAAGGGGTTATTTGTGTCTTGTTATATTTTGGGGGGCAGCAGGGAGGGAGACAGGGAGAGAGAACTTAAGCAGGCTCCACACCCAGCATGGAGCCCGACACGGGGCTCGATCTCACAACCCTGGGATCACGACCTGAGCCCAAGTCAAGAGTCAGATGCTTAATGGACTAAGCTACCCAGGTGCCCCTATGCATTGTTATTCAAGCCTCTTCAGAGCCTGTAGGGTAGGTATGGCAAGGCTGACCACTTCCACTTGCTAGGGGAGGACACAGAAAAGTGAAGGTCTTGCCTGCTAGTAACTGGGCCTGCTGGTGATGGCAGAGCTGGGGTAGGACCTGTGCTCTATTCCAGAAGCTGGCATTCCAGAAGGGTCAGGTCTAAGGGAGGCCTGCAGTGTGCCAGGTGAAGGTGTAGGGAGACAGCCAGTGTTCATGGAGAAGTGGGGATGTCCTCAGGGGTCAGCCAATACCTTGTGCTGAGGAGGAGGAAGACTATGAAGGTGGGACTCCATTCTGGCGGGGAGCTTGGGGCATTGTGGGGGGTGGGAGGTGATTGGGGCTTAGCTCCCCGAACCTGCCTGGGCCATATGAAACCCACGTCTCCCCAGGTACCCGCCCCCCCCCCCCCAGAATGCCTCTCCCGTGTGCCTGTTTCCCAGACTGATGCCTTCTTCTCTATAAATACCAGCTCTGGTATGCCGGGCTGGCAGCTGCTGCTGCCAGAGAGATGGCTAGGCTGACACATGGCTCCTGACAAAATACAAACCCCTGGTGTGTGTGGGTGTGGGTGATGTGAATAGGGGGGTGAATCAGAGAAGGCATGGGGGTGGGCACAAGGGGGCAGAAGCCTGGTAAAGGTGGCGTGTGGGGGTGACTGTGCATAGTAACTGGAAACTGAGAGGCTCCCGGGCTCTTTCTGGAAATCACCCTATCGTTTATAAACTTGAGGCTTTGCCCTACCCTGAAGAGGGGGAGGAAAAGAGCTTACACTAGCCCAGAGGGAAACTGAGGCTCAGGGTTAAAATCTTGGTGCCAGTGGACATACCTGAGGAGGCGTCTCTGGCCAGGACTGCTCTCTGACCCCCCACGCCCCCCCAGGGTACTCCCCCACCCTCCCTTCTTGCCTAGAGACCCTCTTGCTCCATGCCTGGCTGGTGAGTGCCAGTCTTTCCTGAGTTCTTCCAAACCTCTGCCACTTCTAGAGAATCCTTAAGGAGGAAAAAAAGTGCTTTTGAGGCTTTCTGGGGAATAGGCCTTGTTCCTCCAGGAAATGACCCAAAGTTTCTCCTCCAAACGAAAGGGACACCCTCAAACCAAGGGGAAACCTCTTTTCCATTCTCTCCCCTGACTACCTCCCAGGGCGAGGCGGGCACCCAAGGGCAGAAAGAGGCTGCCTAGGGCTTCCAGACAGGCTTGCTTCCCCAGGTGAAGGGGTTGGCAGGCCTGCCCATCTTCTGCCCTCCTAGGCCCTCCAGCCTGTCCCACACCTCTTGCGGGCCCCTTCCCACCCGCGTAGGGCCGTAGGGGCGCAGGCCTCTTGCGGGGGAGCTGGCCTCCCCGCCCCCACGCCAGCGGCCGCCCTTCCTGGCAGGACAGCGGGATCCTGCAGCTGTCAGGGGAGGGGCGGCGGGGGCTGATGTCAGGAGGGATACAAATAGTGCAGACGGCTAAGGGGCCCTGTCTCCCCTCGACGCATCCACTCTCCAGTCGGCCGCCTCCCGCCGCCGCTTCCTCCGTGTCGCCCAGCCTCGCCCGCGCGCAGCCACCATGAGCCAGGCCTACTCGTCCAGCCAGCGCGTGTCCTCCTACCGCCGCACCTTCGGCGGGGCGGGGGGCTTCCCGCTCGTCTCCCCGCTCGGCTCACCGGTGTTCCCGCGCGCGGGCTTCGGCACCAAGGGCTCCTCGAGCTCGATGACGTCCCGCGTGTACCAGGTGTCGCGCACGTCGGGCGGGGCAGGGGGTCTGGGGGCGCTGCGGGCCAGCCGGCTGGGGTCGACCCGCGCGCCCTCCTCCTACGGCGCGGGCGAGCTGCTGGACTTCTCGCTGGCCGACGCCGTGAACCAGGAGTTCCTGACCACACGCACCAACGAGAAGGTGGAGCTGCAGGAGCTCAATGACCGCTTCGCCAACTACATCGAGAAAGTGCGCTTCTTGGAGCAGCAGAACGCGGCGCTCGCCGCGGAGGTGAACCGGCTCAAGGGGCGCGAGCCCACCCGGGTCGCCGAGATCTACGAGGAGGAGCTGCGCGAGCTGCGGCGCCAGGTGGAGGTGCTCACCAACCAGCGCGCCCGCGTGGACGTCGAGCGTGACAACCTATTGGACGACCTGCAGCGGCTCAAGGCCAAGTGAGGACCTGGCGCTCCCGGAACCCCCTTTCCGCGGGCTGAGAGCGGGACGAGGCCTGGGGGCTGGGGGGCAGCTGTCAGCACCTCTCTCCCCCCCACACACCCTGTCCTGCGCACCAGGGACCCTCTCCCACCCCTCTGCGGGGAGAGAGTCATCTACTGGTGTTCCCCAGAGGAGAGATGGACTCCTGGGTCTCTCCCTCGTGCTCATACTCTGCAAAGCAGTTTTCTTGGGGACATCATAGTGTGCAAATGGAAGACCTGAGGCCTGTGGACAGCCCCTTAAAAGCGTCCTAAGATGTCAGGGTGGTGTCCATGGGGGACTGGCAGATGAGCAGATGGAGGAGGCCCGGGTACAGTCAGAGGGAGAGGGGGTTTGATAGGAGACAAGGAAAATCGGGCAAGCTGGGAAGGGCAAAGGGTGGGGAATCTAAGTGGTAGCTCTCAGCTCATCTGTGATCAGACTACCCCACACCCCGGGGTGGGGGGAGGTGGATAGAGAGCAGATCTTAGTCCCTAGGCTGGGCTGAGGCTGTGCCATTTCACTAAGGGAACGGATAAGCTAGAGGAAAGGGGAGGGAGCAAGCCGCAGGCTCCTGAAAGCTTCCGGGGCCTGATAGCGGGCTTCACCTGGCTTCCAGTAGGAAAAGGCAACAAGAATAGAGCAAGTACTCCTGGGTCCTGCTTCTGACGGCAGGAGTGAGCAGAATCAATGTCCTACCACCCCGATCACAAACAATAATTGAGCACCTATGTTGGCCAGACAGGGGCTGAGAACCAGGAACGTGGAGGTGGATAGAATAGACAGAGTCGCTAATCCCAGGGAGGTCACAGTCTGGTTGGGGACATAGACTTCCGGGGTGTGGCTCTGGGGAAGAAATTGGACCACTTCCTGTCCCCTCCCCCGGTGGGCAGGGCCTCTTGTCTCTACCCTGGAGCCAGGCCTCCTCTGGGTGGCCTGAGCCCCACTCCCTGGGCAGCCCCCACCAGGCCTATCCCCACGGCTGGTTTTATCCTCACCAACTGTCTCTTTTCTGTCTGTCTGTTCTGGCCAGGCTGCAAGAAGAGATTCAGTTGAGAGAAGAAGCAGAGAACAATTTGGCTGCCTTCAGAGCGGTGAGCCCTCTTTGGTCCCCCAGCAGCTTTACCCCCTCTGACCCCAGGGGCCCCTCGTCTCCCTCTGCCCTGCCTGAGTTCTCAGTGACCCTCTCCCTCTTGCTTGACCACTCCCAGGACGTGGATGCGGCTACTCTCGCTCGGATTGACCTAGAGCGCAGGATTGAGTCTCTCAACGAGGAAATCGTGTTCCTTAAGAAAGTGCATGAAGAGGTATGCCTTTAGCCCTCCTCCTCAAGGTCCTTAGACTCTAGTAGGAGTAGCTGGAAAGGAGGAGGGGGAGTGCAAGGCTGGGGAATGGGGGAGGGGTGTGAGGGTGCCGTGTGGGTGGGGCCTGGCAGAGCCCTGAAACCCAGCTGCGCCCTACAGGAGATCCGAGAGCTACAGGCCCAGCTTCAGGAACAGCAGGTCCAGGTGGAGATGGACATGTCCAAGCCAGACCTCACCGCCGCGCTCAGGGACATCCGGGCTCAGTATGAGACCATCGCAGCCAAGAACATCTCAGAAGCTGAGGAATGGTACAAGTCAAAGGTGGGCAACCTGGCCCGAGGGCTCTGGCCCCTCCATTCCCCTCCGTCTCTATCTGGAGGTGCTTCCTGTGGCTCTCTCCGTGGGGAGGAGAGTGAACCAGGGTCTTCAGGCTCCCTTGCCATCCCTGCCCTTCGTCCTGCAGCCTCCTCATCTCGGTCCCACTTCCTGCCCACAGGTGTCCGACCTGACCCAGGCAGCCAACAAGAACAATGACGCACTGCGCCAGGCCAAGCAGGAGATGATGGAGTATCGACACCAGATCCAGTCCTACACCTGCGAGATCGACGCCCTCAAGGGCACCGTGAGTGCCCGCCCACCTCGCCCCACTGAGTCCTTCCAGCCTGCAGCTCCCACTCTCACTCTGAGACCCTCTCTCTGGGCCTCTGTCTCCTCAAACCTCCCACAGGGGTGAAAAGAGACAGGTGGCTTCTCAGTTGAACTCTCAGGAGTCGGGGGGTTCCTAGATGGGAGTGGAGAGGAAGGACACAGATGCTTCCTTTTATGACTTCTATTCTCTGGGTCTCCCCAGAAGGCTTCATTTGAGTTTAGGATTCCCTAGCTCAGAAGAGCGTGCCTGACCATGTGGGGTTGCACTCCAGCTCCAAGGCTGTGTCTGTCCCCATCCTGAGCCCCTACCCTGGTGCCCACCCCTCCATGACTCTCCTTGACCTGGGTGCCCCTCTCCTGCAGAACGATTCGCTGATGAGGCAGATGCGGGAGATGGAAGACCGCTTTGCCAGCGAGGCCAGTGGCTACCAGGACAACATCGCGCGTCTGGAGGAAGAGATCCGGCACCTCAAGGATGAGATGGCCCGTCACCTGCGAGAGTACCAGGACCTGCTCAATGTCAAGATGGCCCTGGATGTGGAGATTGCCACCTACCGGAAGCTGCTGGAGGGAGAGGAAAGCCGGTGAGGGGCTGGCGCTGGGATTCTGGGGAGTGCCGAGGGGCCCATTCCTGCACCCCCCCATACCCCTGGGGTTGGGGAGGGGCTCAGGATCACCTTAGAGAGATCCGGAAACAATTTTATACAGGAGGCCACCACACCACTAATTGCAGAGACTTAACCAAGGCCACCTGGGTAAAAAGTGACTTAATTAATAGCTTTTATAAAAAGAGAAATAGAAGTATTCCCTCATCCACCTTCAGAATTAAGAGCCAGCAGCATAAAACCATGTTCAGCAACCAGTAATAAAATATTACTGCCAGTCAAGGAAGAGATGAGAGCAGAGTGGGGAATGATGAGCAAGGAAAGGGAGGGGCTGATAGAGACAAAGAGAGAGCCTGAGACACAGGTTAAGAAGGAGAGGGCAGACTTGTGCCGGAGGGCGCGTGCACGCATACACACACACACACACACAAGCTTTTAGGAAAAGATAGCATGACATGCTCAGAGCAACTCACTTCTAGACACCAAAAATGACATATGACTAAAAGGCAATGCGAGGCAACTTTTCTGGGGCGTTGGAAATGTTCTGTATCTCAATTTAGACTAGTAGTTCCGTTGATGTAGACGCTGATCAAAACTCATTGCAAAATTGCAGACTAAGATCTGTGTATTTCACTGTAGGTAAACCTAACCTCAGTTTAACACAGGTCAATTACTCAAAAAAATGACGCTTATGGATACTCATAAAAACGATGATGTCTAAAGTTTAAAACAAGAAGCAGACATGCTTAAATACAGACTTGCGCACAGAGAGAGGTCAGAGTTCATAGAATTACATCTACACATAATGACCCTTCAAGGCAGCTGGAGATGTGTTGCGTTTCCCCGCACTAGGCATAAATGGGGATGGCATTTACCCTGGAACTCACCCTTCTGTGGGTGGACCAGCAGTTCCCAGCCTGGCTGGCGGGTGGGCATACACAATGGCTGTGGCCTACAACTGCTATCCATATACCTGAATTAACTGAGGAAGGAGATCCTGGTGACCTAGAAAGGGCAGGGGTGTTGGGAGTATGGCTGTCAGGCCAGCAGTTCAGAGATGGAAAGGGACAGTTCCTGGGAGAGCTGGAGTTGCCCTTTGACCCTGTGTTCTTAGCCACGTGAAAGGTCAGTGGGACAGGGACAGCTGACAGTGGCCTTTGTTGAGGACCAGGGCAAGCTTTGATGTGTGGTCACAGGGAGATATAGAGGGCCCTAACCCTTTGGCGGCTTGATCTCCCCTTTCAGGATCAACCTCCCCATCCAGACCTTCTCTGCTCTCAACTTCCGAGGTGAGTGCATGTTGGCAGGTGGACACTGGGATGGCAGGGGGCAGGAGTCCAGCATGGGCACTGCCCAAGGCCAGCTGGGGAGGGGGAATGGAACCGGGGGGATGGAGCTGGGGTCTGGGACAGAGAACGGGAGCAGCTGCAGGTGGGTGGGGAAGTTTAGGTAGAGGCACCTTCTAACAGAGAGAGCTTTTTAAATATTCCATGGTATTACACTGTATTGAGCATGTCCCCAGTACCTTCTGGGAGTCTCGGACATCGGCAAACAGCTTCGATTCCCAATATACCCAAACTCTGAAAGTACCAGGGCTGGCCTTGGGGGTCTGGCAGCAGAAGCATCTAGAACCATATACCCTGGACTACAAGGCGCCCCCCCCAGCCATTGTCTGTTTGGCAAATTGCCAAGCACCCCCCTGCACCCCACCCTACCCCACCTCCTACCAGTTGCTTGTTGAACACCTCCAGTTTGCTGGAGCAAGATGTTGGACACAGGCTTTAAAAGAAAAAAAAAGAAACCAAACCTTAGCAAAGCCAGACAATTAAAAGAAGGAGCTCCACGGGCATTCTGCCATTCTGACATTAGTAATATGCAGATTGAGTGGCTTTCCAATCCCAGAGAACAGAAAAACAAACTATAATGAAACATTAGGAAAGCAAATCGGACTCACTGGCTTGGCAGTGTCGCCTTTCCTAGATCAAACCTTTTTTGTCTTCCGTGTTCGTTCCCGTCGGGAAAATTACATTCTGTGCCCCACCAAGTTATGACATTTGTCGCAGGCTGGCGGCTCACTGAGGAAATTCATGAACACCAAACTCGTCATACCCAGGACCTAAATTTGACCAGCCCTAGAAAACTCAGAACCTTTTTTTTTTTCAGTAGTTTATGCAGACACCCAAGTGTGAGCCTCGCAATTGAAACTGCTTAATGCTTTTTCAAATCAGTGGCTCTGTGGCCAAGATAGCACATCATGGCTGGTGTTTCACGGCAAAGAAACTGAGGCATAGAGAGGCAAGGGACTGGCCACCAGCACAATGAATCCATAACCAATTCTTGTCTGTCTCTCTTTCATAAGACACAGTTTACTCATCTGGTCTCTCTCTCTCTTTTTAAGATCTATTTATTTATGAGAGAGAGCAAGAGCGAGGGAGGGGGGAGGGGACAGAGGGAGAGAGAGTCTTAAGCAGACTCTGCATCAAGCATGGAGCCCAATGTAGGGCTGGATCTCACAACCCTGAGGTCACAACCTATGCAAATCCAAGAGTCCGAAACTTAACCAACTGCACCCCCCCAAGGCACCCCTCATCTGGACTCTTAAAGAGGGGCTGGGTACCATGAGGCCCTTCAAAAGAGTATCTTGGGACTGGGTTTGGGGTTCTGTCAGGGTACAGGTTCACACAAGGCTGTGCTGGAGCCCAGTGGTGGAGGGGAAGTGAGGGCATGTGTGAGGAGTGGGAATGTTGGATGGTCTGGGGCCTCAGGGGTCCTCCACTCTCCTGAATCAGCATCTCTTGGCTCCTGAGCCTGTCTCAGCTGTGGGACTGGCCCGGGCGTCTGTAGAGCTCAAGGACAGGCTATAAAGTCTTGCTGAAAAAGTCATAGCCCCATCTTGAGGGGGTAGGAGTGTTTTGGGCTCCACCCCATGGGATGAGGGAGGGACTGCCAGTCCCTGGAGTGGCCCAGGCCTGGACTTGGTCAGGCTGAGTGTGTGGATGGATCTGTTACAGAAACAAGCCCGGAGCAAAGGGGTTCTGAGGTCCACACCAAGAAGACGGTGATGATCAAGACCATCGAGACCCGGGATGGGGAGGTGAGCCATCTGCCTGCTTCCCTTAGCCTGGTGGGGGCTCTGGGGTAGGTCTATGAGGCTGTCAGCCAGGTGTCTTCCACCAGCTGTGCTGGTTCAAGGCCCTGCCTGGAGGGAGAGTGGGTCCTGCCACATCGGAGTCGGGGGAGGACCCAGGGCTGGGTCCCCATTCTCCTGTTGGTGCTGGTTTGGACTGGGCTTCTCTCCCTCCCCAGGTTGTCAGCGAGGCCACACAGCAGCAACACGAGGTGCTTTAAAGCCAGAGACCCCTCTGCCACCAGAGACCGTCCTCGCCCCTGTCCTCACTGCCTCCTAAAGCCAGCCTCCTTCCATCCCAGAGCACCACACCCAGCCACAATGCTCCCCTCACAGCCTCTGACATTTGCTCACCCATCACCACGCATGGCCCCCGCAGGGGACATGGCCCACCCCTGCCCAGGCACAGGCAGCCCCAGCCGTGTGAGTCCTGAATGTTGGAAATGAGTGAGCCTGGCTCCTAGCTGCCCTCCGCGTGTGCTGGGCAGGACCAGCGTGGAACCAGAGCAGACCAGTCCCCTCCCACTTCTGGGACGTCAGGCCCTAGCCTCTACCTTTGGAGAGGGCCCCAGAGCAGGGCGTTGGGACCCCATAGGACCAGGATGGAGCCTGGAGACCTCCCCACTCCCTACTCCCTAGCCTGGGTCAGAGAGAAAGGGCAGCCTCCCCAGCAAGCCTGGCAGGTGACTAGAGGACTAGCCCCTGTGGGAATGGGGGCTTGACACGGACCCCGTTGCCCCTTTCCGAGGGTGGGCTTAGAAAGCAGGGGCTGCAAGAGGGAACCCCCGAAGGTGCCATTTGTGGGAGGAGGAGATTCAGAAGGAGAGAGGGTGGGTGAGATGCTGGAGAGAAGTGAGGAGAGAGGCAGAGAGTGGTCTCAGGCAGGGGAAGGGGTGCCCCCTCTGTGCCCACCCCTCCCCTGCAGCAGGGGCTCTGGACAGAAACAATAAAAAGAGAAGTACTAGCCTAACACGTCCCTGGCTGTGTTGACTGCCTGGTCGCCTCTGGGGGCCCCCAGGTCCCTGCTGCCCCACCCCCTGGGATGGATGCTGCCTTCCTAACTCCTCAGAGCTCAGACCGTCCCCCAGGGCCTGTCACCTCTGCTGTTCCCAGAAACTACCAGCCTTGCTGTGTGTATGTGGCATAGGGTGGGAGGGGAGTTGGGCAGGGGGCTTTTGTTAGGGAGCTTTGAATACCTCCTGTTAGGCCCCAATTTCTGGAATGCCCCCTTGGGCCCCCTTTGGGCCTTCAGATCATCAGGCCCCAGGGACACCACCTGCTGCTCTTTCTGAAGGGCATTGCCTGGCTCTGAAGTAGGGCTCTCCTGTTCCCCAAAACAGCTCACAGCCCCTTCCCGTTAAACCTGCCTGAGCACCTTCTATGGACAAGGACCGATTCAGGAAAAACAACATTGTTAAGAAAAATAGAAAGTTCTATCTTATTTTTGGAGAAGACTGAAATTCTCTGAAGATATCATTTCAGCCTATGTTAACCAAGACTTTGAATGCAATGCAATCTCAAGGAAAATACAAAAGGGAAATTTGGGGAGAATTTGGTAAGCATAGGGGAGGGGAGTGGAGGACATATTAAAAAAAATAGGAAATCCTGGAACAAAATATTAACACGGATATGTTAAAGGTTTCTGTGGGAGATGCTTAATGATTCAATATATAGTCTTGGGGGCCATTGGGTAGCCACGGGGGGACAGGAGTGAAGCCTGTCTCTTTTCACTCCTTCTAAAAAATAAATTTCAGATGGAGCCAAGATTCAGGAAGCTTGATGGATCCATATAGGCTTCCACCTTCAAGTTAGTCCTCACAGATCAAGGAGATAATTCTTTAAAAGAGAGGGGAAGAGGGTAGAGATCATAAAAATAGTAAATTCAGACAATCTGTAGGAGGGAAAAAAAAAGAATCCAAAACCTAATAGGGCTTTAGTCTTAAGTTCCTTAGTCTGACTTTCCTAACTGGCCTTTTCCAGAAACTTCCAAAGCCTTTCTGGTGTCTCTATTTTTCTCCCTCTCCTTGGATGCTCCCTTTGCTCAGAAATCACCCCTTCCCTCTGGGTTCAGCAGCTCGTCCCTATAAGAAGGCCCCCTTCTCAGTGGTATTCTTCAGCTTGGCCTGGGGAGCATTGTGGACACATCCCGGGTCTCTACCCTTTGCCACTGGTGACGCGTGATCATTTCTTTTCCCCTAGTGCCCTAGTGGGATGAACACTGAAAACCCTAGAACTACTCCCATCAACCCACAGTGGAATTCCAAGTGAAATTACAAGTAGCATTTGCCATGGCTTTACCCTGGGATATAAGAGGAGGGACTGTGGGGGGCTTCCCATCCCTGAGCTGGTCTCTCTGTGAGAGAGATGTCTGAGTGAAGCTGGGCTCGGGTGGCTACGAGGTGGTGTACGTATCTGCGAGTAATTTCAGGAGCCTCTCAGCGATTTCTTCTTTCCCTTAAATGAGTACACTCTCTCATCTAACCCATAGAGCACAAAGGGGTGCATAGGTCAGGGAAGGTCTTAGAGGCATCCCTACGCTCCAAAAAATCTGAGGTGCAGACTAGTCACTGAAGTGGAAAGAATCTAGGAATCTTAGACTCTCAGTGTCAGATGGCAAGTCCCCCAGGGAGTGACGCCCATAACCCGGAAGTCGCCTCCCAGCCTCGCCCTAATATCTTAATGAGCAGTCACCGAGCTCTGCTTGAACGTTTCTGGTCGGAGAACGCACTACCTCCTGAGCCCTTGGAGCTGGGGGTAGCTCTGTCAGTCAGAAAGCCTTCCTCCTCGGCACACATCTGTCTTCTGTGACTACTGCCCACTTGTTCGGTGAAGAGAGGAGGCTCAGACCCAGCCTGTGTCCCCGTGGGGAAGCATTCTCTGAGCAGAGCCTTCCCGGGACTAAAAGACCTCTGATGCCCAGTGCCTGGCTGGCTCAGGCGGTAGAGTGTGTCTGCCTCTTAATCTTGGGGTTGTGAGTTCAGGCCTCACGCTGGGTACTTAAAATACTTAAAATCTTCAAAAAAAAAAAAAAAAGTTGGGGGGGGATGCCTGAATGGCTCAGCTGGTTAAGTGTTTGCTTTCAGCTTGGGTCATGACCCCAGGGTTCTGGGATCCAGTCCCACATGGGGCTCCTGGCTTAGTGGGGAGACTGCCTCTCCCTCGGCTTATGTTCTCCCTCTCTGGGAGGCCTGGGTGGCTCAGTCAGTTAAGCAGCTACCTTTGGCTCCGGTCATGATCCCAGTGTCCTGGGACCGAGTCCCACATCAGGCTCCTTGCTCCGCGGGGACCCTGCTTCTCCCTCTGCCTCTGCCTACCACTCTGCGTGCCTGTGCTCTCTTTCTCTCTCACTCTAACAAATAAATAAATAAAATCTTAAAAAAAAATCTTAAAAACAAAACAAAACAAAACCATAAAAAAAAGGGGCGCCTGGGTGTCTCAGTGGTTAAAGCCTCTGCCTTCGGCTCAGGTCATGATCTCAGGGTCCTGGGATCGAGCCTCACATCGGGCTCTCTGCTCAGCAGGGAGCCTGCCTCCTCCTCCTCTCTCTCTGCCTGCCTCTCTGCCTACTTGTGATCTGTCAAATAAATAAAAATCTTAAAAAAAAAAAACATTAAAAAAAAAAAAACCCAAGTAGAAGTCCTCTGGTTCTAAGTCCTCTGCTTTGGCTATCTTCTTGGGAGCTAGACTGTGAGGCAGGGACTCCAGGGCAGGGGAACATGGTTATGGTGCTCCCCAAAATGGACAAAATAAGCCAAGAAAGATCTGGGCTCCATATGGTCACACATATGCACCCCATCACCTCCATGGCGAAACCCCTGCCTGGTCTTGGGACACTCACTCTCATATCCTCTCCTGTAAGATTCCAAACATCATGAAGAAACAAGAGAACTCATGGAGGCTGACTAGCTTCTCACTGGACCCAGGGGATCCATTCTAGACCAACTCAGTCCCCATGCAAGGGATGAGGTAGGAAGGATCATGAGAGGCAAATGTGTCCCTAAACCAAGAACTGAGGGCTCAGTGGACACTGTCCTGCTCTCTCTGTCCACTCTTTCCCCTGCCCCCCTGAGCCCTCTCCTCCCACCCACTCACGCCTCCCTCTTCTTCCCCTCACCTGCTTGCCTAGGACAGTTAGGGAAATACGTCAATGACTTTCAGGTTCAGCACCAGAATGCCAGCTAACCGAGGGGAAGGTCTTCATCGTTCTACACATCACTGGTTCCCCAGTGCCCGGGAGAGGGCTTGCTCCATAGAAGGTGCTCATTAAATATTTAAGCACTTGTTGAATGAATACCCACTGAGCACTTTTATTTACTTTTCCCTAAATTAAATATTTACTGGGAAGGCTGATGGCCCCCACTTCATTTCATGGCTCCAACCAACATTTACTGACCTTTCACCATGTGCCAGGTGCACAGTGCCTCATTGTGACTGGCAGGAAACTCCCCGCAGCCCAGAGAGGTGAGGGGAACTGCCAAGGTCTCACAGCATTACTTGTGGCCGAGGAGAACCAGGTCCCAGGCTCCTTGGCCTCTGGAGTCCAGATCTCTTTCCATGACACCATAGGCTTGTGATCGCGAGGCAGGGCTGACTGGCAGCACACACCCAGCCCAGCGCCAGGTCGCAGGGCACTATGGGGCCCATTCTGAGGGACAGATGAGCGCCTTGCAGCCAGCTGCCCTGGGTGGCAGGCCTGGCCAGAGTCTGAGGGTCAAAGCTAGTGCAGGCTCCTCCAGGAGAGGGCACCAGCGATTCACAGGGCCGGTGCCCTCCCTACCCAGGCCCACACACCCCAGAGCACACATCAGTGGATGCCCCCATTCCAGAAACTCAGCCAGGAGATACACAAGCCATGTTCCTGGCCCTGTGCCAGGCCCTTTTAAATAGTTAATATTCATTTTAATATTTAATATAATAATTTAAAGCCATCACAACAACCTAAGTCAGATCATGTAATTCCTCCGCTCACAATCCTCTCAGATGACTTCCGGTTTTCACATGGAACAAAAGTGCCATGGCCTACAAGATGCTAGGCTTTCTGACCCCTGCTACCCACCTGACCTCATGTCTCTACCCTCCCCACTGCTCCCTCCAGCCCCACTGGCACCCTGGTTCTTGTCGGAGCCTGCCGGGCTCATTCCCCGCTCTGCCTGAAGCAGTCCGGTCCAGACATCTGCACCATTTGCTTCCTCAGTCCTTTAAGATGGGCTCAGTCATTCCCAACGAGGCTCCAGCCATCCTATTAGAAAGGGCAAGCTCCGTCACTCTCCCATCTCCCTTCCCCTGCTCTGTTTTTCCCACAGGGACAGGAATCCTTGT